GACCACATGGGATTGCTGTATGAAAAAGGTTCTGCAATTGTTAGAATTTCAAAAACCACATTCAAAACGTAAAATTAAGCAGTTAAATTTCATAAAACATCTTCCAAAATGTTTTACGGATTTTATATTCTCGTTTTACAACAATTGAAAAAGTATATTAAACTTCCCATGCCGGGAATCGAACCCGGGCCGCCTGGGTGAAAGCCAGGAATCCTAACCACTAGACCACATGGGATTGCTGTTTGACAACAAGGTTCCGCAATTGTTAGAATTTCAAAAACCACATTCAAAAAGTAAAATTAAGCAGTTAAATTGCATAAAACATCTTCCAAAATTTTTTACTGATTTTATATTCTCGTACGACAACAATTGAAAAAGTATATTAAACTTCCCACGCCGGGAATCGAACCCGGGCCGCCTGGGTGAAAGCCAGGAATCTAACCACTAGACCACATGGGATTGCTGTATTTAAACAAGGTTCCGCAATTGATAAATTTCAAAAACCCCATTCAAAACGTAATGATAGAAAACAACATTTTTATTCAAATAGCACCATTTTTATGTCTGTGAAAAAATTTTATCAGAAGTTATTGACTTAACTTGCCGAGTCAAAATTCAGAAAATTCCAATATACGATAAGTCAATATCCTGAGAAATTAATGTCCTAGACCCATAATGTTGATATCGTTAAATACCAAATCACAGCCATAAGTAAATACATTAAATATTTATGTAGTAACTTTACTTCTAAGATATATTCAGCTATGTGTTTAAATCACAAATCCACGTTCTAAGTGCTCTCCATCCCTAGATGAAGGCAAAATAAATATAAATCTTTTTGGACGGATGAACTGAAAGCTAAGAGAGACAGGCTTAGAAGAAAGGCGGAGTTGACCTCCCGCCCTTGCGATGTTCCAGCTTGGAGAAAACAATCTGCATGCTTTAGGAAGGCCTTAACTAGCAGTAAAGGATCCTCATTTAATGAATTTATCTCAAATATAAACTACCAATCTGATAGTAAGATAACTTTTAAATTTATAGGCAACCTAATGAATGATCCAGTTCGCTCACCTAAACAATCCTTTACAGTTGGAGATAAAAATCTCTCCTCGGACTCTTTAGTAGCGAATGCTTTTGCACGGCATTTCTGTGGGGTCAATAGCAAACACATTTATTCTAAAATATATTCATCCGCTGTTAAACAAAAACTACATTTCTGCAGTCAGAATTTGAACCTTGTACTGAATTAGTTTTTGATGCACTTATAACTTGAGACGATTTGGCCTATGCTCTAAGAAGCCTTAACAGTGGTAAATCTCCTGGCGGAAATGGAATCCATTCAGAGTTTTTCTCTCATCTCGGCCCTAATGCATTCGAAACCGTTTGGACCTTTTTCAATTTAATTTGGAATACAGGTATTGTACCAGCTGAATGGCGAACTTCTATCGTTATTCCCATACATAAGAAGGGCAAAGATCCTAATATGCTCCCGAACTATAGACCTATATCGCTTACCAGTATTGCAGGTAAGGCAATGGAGAAAATTGTTGTGAGAAGACCTAACTACTACTTGGAAACTAACGGATTTATTGCTAAGGAGCAGGCGGGATTTAGAAGTTCCAGATCTACTAATCAACATGTTGCCCTCCTGAGCCAATGTGTCAAAGACTCCCTTGATAACAACCACGTCCTGACAGCAGTTTTTATTGACCTCAAGTCGGCTTACGACAATGTATGGAGGGAGTACCTTCTACTGAAACTGTCAAAACTAGGTATTAGAGCAAATCTTTTTAATTGGATAAAAGGCTTTCTGTGCCAGCGCTCTTTCAGAGTCAGGTATGGCAGTTCCCTTTCAAAATCTAAGATCCTGAAAACAGGCCACCCACAAGGTGCTGTTAGTAGTTGCTCCCTTTTTAACATCTACATTAATGATTTGATTACGAAAATAAAAGAAATTATTGGCGTCAAATGCCTGTTATATGCTGATGATTTGGTCTTCTGCACAGTTTCCAAAAAAGTAAATGCTGTGAAAAGCATAGAGACTAAACTCTCTGCTGCTTTGAACGCTTTGGGGGTTTGGTGTGATACTAACAATATTGAAGTGAATGAATAAATCATATTGCTTGACTTTTTCACTTATGCATCAAACTTTGGGTCTTCAGCTGAAGTATAAAAGCATTCAAATTCCTTTGTGTAATAATTTTAAATATCTGGGAGTGACGTTTGATCGCAAACTAACATGGAAACACCACGTAGAAGATATTTCTAACCGTGCCATGAAAAGGCTCAGTGCCCTCCAACGACATGCTGGGGCAAGATGGGGTTGTTTAGAACAAACCATGCTCCAAACTTATCACACGTTCATTCTCCCCCTTTTGACATACTGTTGCGAACCACTTGTTGTGGCCGGAAAAAATTTCCTTATTTCTCTGGAGAAAATCCAAAATCAGTCCTTACGAATTGTCAATCCTTACGAAAGTCCACCTCGATAGATGCCATGCTCATGTTGGCTGGTGATAAACCCTTGAGAACAGTTATTCAGGTGAAGGCCTTAATACTGTGGGAAAAGATCATCAGAGTACCAGGATGTTTTTCACTGTGGAATGAAGTCAAACAAGACCTGATCAGAAATTTAAAGACTCAGATGGGCTTTCTGCAGGGAGTTCTCCAGCTAAAAAATTCACTTGGTTTAAATCACGAACCAGAATTACTCATTCCACCCCAAAAATCCAGTGCATTTGAAATCTTTCTGTATTAATCTTGATTTGGGTCAAAAGATTACAAAAAGTAATACAGACACTTCTATTTTGAGAGCACTTGCTCTAGAAATGTTAAACATTCTTTACCCTGATCCAGAGGGGCTCAGAATCTTTACCGATGGATCCCTCCTGTCTGATAGCCCTAACGCAGGTGCCAGAGTTTTTTCAGAAATGTTTTCTTTCTACGTCCCTGTTGAAGGGACGTCCCTACGTCCCGGTACTGAGTTTGATGGTGAAATTGCTGTGATTCGCACAGCTCTGTCCCAGCTGCAGTGTCCACTGGAAAAATGCACAACAGCTGTTATCCTCTGTGATTCTAGAGCTGCTCTGTTAGCTATTGTTTCTAACAATAATCCTAAAACCCAAGACATATTGGATTGACGTTATCATCTTGAAAACCTGGCATCACTTGAAAAACTATAGTCCTCTAGTGGGTTCCTGCCCACTGTGGGGTTCCAGGAAATGAGAAAGCCGACTTCCTGGCGACACAAAAAATATCTCGTCCTATACCCTTCCACTCTATCAAAAATCTCATCAAAAGATCAATTAAAGTCCGCGCTCAAGAAGACCTCTATAACCGTGTTTCCCAAAAGTCCTGGAAGAAGGCCATCCCAAATCTATGTAATGTTCCAAGGCGTAGAGCAGTCGCTCATTTCCGACTAGCCACTGGCCATGACTGCCTGCGTAAACATCTTTACAGACACAAAATTGTTCCTTCCCCAATATGCACTCTGTGCAGCTCCGGAGAGACCACGGACTCCACGCATCTACTGCACTGACCTGCTCTGAGCAAGACTTTTCTCGCCGAGCGATATAGGGAGGCTAGAGATATGTTATATTAATGAACTCGGTTGCAGCATGTTTTGTTGTTTTCTCTGTACTTTTTTTTATTTTTCGTTGTTCTATAACTCTTCATAATTTGCCATTGGAAATATAAAAAAAAAGTGCTCTCCGAGCTGTTTTAAGCGAGTAAGCGCATTTTCCGGCCGATTTCACTAAATTTTGAATTGGAACCAGTTCTAATGAATACATTTTGTTTGGCGGTAAAGATTTTTGATTCTGGCTAAACTTTTTCCAGGAAAATCTAGCCAAATGGGAAAATATGGTAAAAATGGATTTTGATGCACTTTAAAAAATTACATAATAATAATTTTTTTCTAGGATTTATTTGATAGAAAACAACATTCTTATTCAAACGGCACCATTTTTATGTCTGTGAAAATATTTTATCAGAAGTTACTGACTTAACTTGCCGAGTCGACATTCAGAAAATTCCAATATACGATTTGTCAATATCCTGAGATATTAATGTCCTAGACTCGTAATGTTGATATCGATAAATACCAAATCACGGCCATAATTAAATCCATTAAATATTTAGTGTAGCAACTTTACTTCGGAAGATATATTCAACTATACGTATAAGTCACAAATATACATTCTAAGCGCTCTCCGAGCTGTTTTCAGCGAGTTAGCACATTTTCCTACTAATTTGACTAAATTTTGGTTTGAAGCAGTTCTGTTGAATACATTTTGATTGGCCGTAAACATTTTTGATTCTGACCAAAAATTTTCCAGGAAAATCCAGCCAAATGAGAAATTTTGGTAAAAGTGGATTTTGATGCAGTTTTAAAAATTAAATAAAAATAATTTTTTTTCTAGGTTTTAATTGATAGAAAATAGCTCCTAACCACTAGCAACATGGGATTGCTGTATGTCAACCAGGGTTCTGTGATTGTTGGATCTTCAAAAACACATTCAAAAAGTAAAATTAAGCAGTTAAATTGCATAAAACATCTTCCAAAATGTTTTACGGATTTTATATTCTTGTTTTACAATTAAAAAAGTTTATTAAACTTTCCATGCCGGGAATCGTAACCACTAGACCACATGGGATTGCTGTATTTAAAATAGGGTTCTACGATAATTAGATTTTCATATAAACAGTCAAAAATTGGAACTAAACAGCTTAATTGCATAAGACCCATACCAAAATGCGTTACGGTTTTTATATTCTGGTTTTACAACAATTGAAGAAGGTAATTAAACTTCTCATGCCCGGAATCCTAACCGCTAGATCACATGGGATTGCTATATGTCAATAAGGTTCTAAGATTGTTAGAATTTCAAAAACCACATTCAAAAAGTAAAATTAAGCAGTTTAAGCGCATAAAACATCTTCCCAAATATTCTATGGATTTTATAGTCTTGTTTTATAACAATTGAAAAAGTTTGTTAAACTTCCTATTGCCGGGAACCGAAACCGGGCCGCCTAGGTGAAAGCCAGGAATCCTCACGACAAGACCACATGGGATTGCTGTATTTAAAATAGGGTTCTACGATAATTGGATCTTCATATAAACATTAAAAAATTGGAACTAAACAGTTTAATCCCATAAGACATTTTTCAAAAAGGGTTACGGGTCTTATATTCTTTTTTTACAACTATTGAAAAAGTTAATTAAACTTCCCATGCCGGGAATCTAACCCGGGCCGCGTGGGTGTAAACCAGGAATCCTAAGATCTAGACCACTCGGGATTGCTGTACGTCAAATAGGGTTCTGCGATTGTTAGATCTTCAAAAACATATTCAAACAGTAAAATTAAACAGGTTAGTTGCATAAAACATCTTCCAAAATATTTTACTGATTTTATATTCTTGTTTTATAACAATTGTTGTTCAATTGTTATAAAACATTAATTAAGCTTCCAATGCCGGGAAGTATTCAGCTCCTGTCAAAGGCTCTCTGTTGATGTTAAGAATAAAGAAAGTTGGGATGATTGGTTATAGTTTGCATGGTCAACTTCTTGAAATACTGACATGATTTAAAAAAAAAAAAAATTACTTCTCTAAAGCGAAGAGCGAAATAAAATAAAAAATAGTTTCTAATGTCATTTCAATATCAAAAGCGGCGCCTGAGACTTCTCGGCTGTCCTGACTTCACGTCGGCGGTATTGTAGGACTTTGTTATAGTATTCATCTCCAGTCGAAAGCTCTCTGAATGTAGCAATGGATGAATATTACTTTGAAGAAAAAAGAAAATTGGAATGATTGGTTATAGTTTGCATGGTTAATTTCTTGACATTCTCATATGATTTTTAAAAAAATTACATTTAAAAAGCTGACAAGCGTAATAAAATAAAAATAATTCATACTTAATTTCAATGTCAGAAGCTCCGCACTGTTTAAAGAACCAGATCTTGAATTTGGCCCCCTTTAGACCTCTCGACCATCCTGACCGTCCGTCGCTGGTATTGCAGGACTTATTTATAGTATTTAGATCCAGTCAAAAGCTATCTGAACGTAGAAATAGCTGAATATTACGGTGAAGAAAACAGAAAATTGGAATGATTGGTTATAGTCTGCATGGCCAATTTTTTGAAATTGTGGCATGATTTTAAAAAGATATAAATTTTCGAAAGCTTACAAAATAAAAAGAATTGATAATGTCTCTTCAATGTCAAAAGCGAGGTTCGAACCTCCGCTCTGTTTCCAGTACCAAACCAAATCTAGAACTCGGCGCCTGAGCCCTCTCGGCCATGGACTTCTCGTCGGGTGTATTGCAGGACTTAATACTATAAATAAGTCGGCAATTCAGTTAGTTCCAGGCAAAAGCTATCTGAACGTAGCAATAGATGAATACTAATGTGAAGAAAGAGAAAGTTGGAATGATTGGTTATAGTTTTCATGGTTAATTTCTTGAAATTCTGACATGATTTTAAAAAAATATTTCTTTTCGAAGGCTAATAAGCGTAATAAAATAAAAACATCTGATATTACACTTCAACGGCAGCAGCGAGGTTCGAACCTCCGCTCGGTTTTCAGAACCACAACTAGTAATTGGCGCTTTAGACCTCTAGGCCATCTTGAATTCTCGTTTGCTGTATTGCAGGAATTATTTATAGTATTCAGCTCCAGTCAAGAGGTATCAGAACTTATCTCTGCTATAGATGAATATTATAGTGAAGAAAAAATGAAGTTGGTTTGTAGTTTGCATGGTCAATTTTTTATTGAAAACCTCTCCACGCCGGAAATCGAACCCGGGCCGCCTGGCGAAAAGCCAGGAATCCTAACAACTAGACCACATTGCAGCGAAAGCAATAGTAAAAGTACTACCATTTGAAGATCCTCAAGTTCAGATTTAAAATTGAGAACATTAGCTTATTTACATAAAAACTTCCAACATATCCAACACAGTTTTAATGTGTCTTTAATAAACGCACTGATTAAGCTTAATTGCATAAAACATATTGTAAAATGTCCAAACGAGATTCGAATTTCTTTCACTGGTTTCAGATTCCACCAAGATAGCATTGCAAACATTCATTCAAATTTCAAATACTAGAAATCGATATCGGGTTCGTGGGTCAGATATATGTACATTAAAGACTAGACCACATAGGGTTATGAGTGCCAAAGAGGATTCTACCATTTTAAAACCTCAAGTTTTTGTTTAGAAATTGAAATAAAATTGCTTTTTTGCATGAAATTTTTCTTCTACCATGATTCGACGTCATAACACTAGAATCAGGTTAGAGCGCTTCAACAAACATATAACCTTTGCAACGTTTCCCATGCCGGGAATCAAACCCGGGCAAGAGCCAGGTATTCTAATCACAAGATCACATGGGAGTGTTGTACGTCAAAAAGGGTTCTACGAATTTTAGATTCTCAAATTCAGATTCAAAAATTAAAATTAAACAGCTTAATCGTGTAAAACATTTTCAAAAATGCGGTACGGTTTTATTTTCTTGTTTTACAATTGAAAGAATTTATCAAACTTCCCAAGCCAGGAATCGAATTCAGACAGCCTGGGTGAAAGACAAGAATCCTAACCACTTGGCCACATGGGAGCATGTTGTTTTAAAGAGTGTACTACCAGTTGAAGACTCTAAATTTAAAATTCAAAATTGAAAAAATATCTTGTATGCATAAAAATATTTCCATGGAGCCCTCTTGTGTCCTAAAATGTCCCTACGAATTCATCTAAATTGCGGCTAACAGCTGTTTTACTGCTTAATTCTTTAAATTCTATCTTAATTTTGTCTTGATTTTATTTTTAATATTTAAAATATTAATACAATTAAATAAATAAACATTTATGTCTTTAAAATCTAAATATTTAATGCAACAGCTAATTTAATACTGCTCTGTTTTCATCTTAAATTTAAAGTTCTATTGTACTTTCTTAATTTTAATAATTACTTAAATTTAAAAAAAATGTGTTTTCCTAACTTCGGTTGGGTTTTTTCCAATGTTCTACCAATTGACTAATGGCGCCATCTAACGGCGAGCCAGTCAACCATCAGTTTTGAATTTTTTGTATGTTTTTCACGTTTCTATATCTTTTGTAATTTTTATTGTACTTTCATTACTTTTTATTTTTAATTCCTTTGGTTTATTTTATTTTAACTTAAAATTTCTTAATTTTAACTTTAATCTTTTAATTTTTGGGCATTGACAATGGACTCCTAATTGTACCGTTAGCTTTAGCCTTTTCGATCTCTTGCTTTAATTGTGAATTCCTGATTTTAATTGTTTTTTTTTATTTATTTTTACTCTTTAATTTAAGAAACTTCATTTTGTGCTAATGTTTAAATTACTTTAAGATCTGGAGGTTTTGTTGTTCTTAAAACCACCTTAGAACTCTGTAACCGGTACGCCCGTTGCCCCCAAATTGCATTCAATAATTTCTATAAAATTCTCGTCCTTTGGTACCAACGTTGGTTTTAACGTATTCAACGCAGAGAATTTGCCAAGATAATTAAAGCTCCAGTTCTTACCGCCGATTATCCTTTTCAAAAATGTGCTTTTGATGCAACAAATCCAATAGTGACTTCTCCTTTAGGCGTCAAGTGTCTCAACGTAATCTCGGACTATTTTACTAGATATGCCGAGGCGTATCCAATTTCTGATATTCAAAAATCTACAGTGGCCCGAGTTCTTATTGACTTTATTTCTCGTCCTGATCTCTCTACTCAGACCGTGGTTCTAATTTTTTTATCTGCAACCATGAACGAAGTACATGACATAGTTGCAGATATTTTCGAATTCCGAACTTTGGCATAGACCCCCTCAGGGAAATAGGGTTGTGGAAACGGTTAAACAAAACTCACCTCGATGCTCTAAGCCAGGGGTCTCCAAACTACGGCCCACCAGTGTCATCAATCTGACCCGCCACAGCGAATAGCTTATTGTTGCTGTAATAAGTTGGATAAAAAAAAACACAGAATGACAATAACTCGGTTTTATTGACTTGATAGGTAAAGCTTAATGACAAGCATAATACGCAGAAAATTTAACTTAAGCATAACAACAAACAAATAATTGAAATGAATCTCACTAACATTATAAACTAATGAACATCCCGCGGTTACCCACGCTAGTTATACCTACCTATTTCCGCTTTTAACCACTAGATGTCGTCAAGTGTCACGGTCGTATCGATAAACACAATAGTAATTGTAGTAATTGAACCAGCGAATTTAGCAAGCGTATCCTCGCTCAGAGCGTGTACTCGGCGACTAGTCTCGAAATTATAGATAATGGCGGAAAAATTAAAACGGTTTTGGCCCTTGGTACTTACTGAAGTAAACAGTATGGCCCTAATGCTGGAAAGTTTGGAGACCCCTGCTCTAAGCCTTGTCGTTTACCTTACATTAGCTGGCGTGACGAGCTGCAGTAAACCAGTTTTGTTCGCAGCTAATTATTGGCAAGTTGAGAATACCCCTTCATGCCTGCCTAGAGTGGCAATAGATATTCTACTCCCTCCTCACTTTCTACAACCAATCAAATTAAAAGTTCTATTAAATACAGATGAAGGCCTAAAGAAAGTCACGGTTTTGTTAAACCCTTAAATTAATAAAAAAAAATATTTAAAAAAACTTTTCTAAAGTCAATTCCTACTTTTTTTACTCTCTATTGCAGAAAGTCCTTTATAAAGAATTTTCATTAATTTTTTTACGTTTATCTGGTGCCATCTATTGGTAAATACATGCAACTTAAATCTAAAAAAACTCAAATTAATTCATTAAATTTAATGAATGAATTAATATTTGAAAAAATTGTATTAATATCCAGTGTCAACCACTACAAGTTCAAAAAAATGTGTTTGAACTGGGCTGGATGAATAGAAAGTGTTGCATGAACGATTGAAAATTTGAACAAGATATATATAGGGAGAGTGTGAGCTAATAGAAGGAATTGACTAAAAAAAAAAAGAGTAAGAAAATATAGCATCAAATATTTTTTCCTCCTACCGTTGCTTCCAAACCTTGTGTGTTTTTAATGTGTCGTCGCTAAAAATGTATTTGAACTTAAGTGGATGAACAAAAAGTAGTTTATGAACGACTGAAAATGTGAACAAGATATATATAGGGAGAATGTGAGCTAATAGAAGGAATTGAATAACAAATTCAAATTCATGAGGTAAATACATATTTTATTGATATATATAAATAGACGTTGCAGTACAAAATATTTTTTCAGACATTTAAATATAAGGCACAAAAGACAACTAACTGCCTTTCATAGAATTTGGAAAGAATCAACAATGCGAATTTCCATTTCAAAAGAACTGTAAATATCACATCACACATCTATATTTACAATTTTAAAAAAATCTTATGTCCATCTTGTACAAGATAATTCAAAACTTTCTCTAGAAATATTTATAGAGAAAAGTTTTTTTTCTATAATTTTCTCTTTTAAAACTTAAAACACAATTGGAACACAGACAGTGACACATATTCTGCCTTATCAATATCCTCCAGATGCCACAACTTAATAATACAGAAGAATCTTTTTAAAATAAATGCACAGTTACAGAACACATCTCTTTAACTTCAGCCTCCATACATCATTTTCATTACCCCCTCCCCCTCCAAATATCTTTCCCAGAACTGCTCATTTTTAAATAAAAAATTCTACTCTTAAACACACTAAATTAAATAACACTAAATTAATTGTTTGGTGAGATAAAACAAAAACCCCTAGCAATAAATTATGGATTTACCTAACTTCCTTTTTTTAACACAATTCAAGTGAAATATAAAAAAAGGCAGTTTATCACACGTTCTTGCTGCAATTTCAGAAATTTACAACAATTGAAGCATTTATGCTTTAGACAATACCTTTAAATACAGAAATATGTATAATTGAGTAAGCACAACATATAATGCATTATCCCCATTATCCAAAAAAAAAAAAAAAAAAAAAAAACATTCACCAAAGTGAGAGTTCTACTACATTACATCTAATAAAGCGACTCATTCGTGTGTTAAAAAAGCTCGACATGCGCCCAATTATGCTGGCAGATCAACCAGCTCTTCTATAACTAAAAAAAAACTTACGAATCCTTGTAATCCAATATTAACCCCCTCCCCCCCAGATGAAAACCAGAAATGGTGAGGAGCTTTGTTGATTAGAAAGTAGCAACCAATTTTTATTATGTAACCCATTTTAAAGCACTTGAATAAAGCTTAGCTTAGACTCACTATAATGAATGTATACATGACAAAAATATCAAATTCCACCATGTAAGCAATTAATGCATACTTACCTAGACTTTATATAAGCTCATATGGATTAATAATATATATATATATATATATATAAAATATACATACATATATATAATTGAAAAGAAATAACAGAATTAAACCAGATTTTTTTTTTTAAAGCAAAACATTCATGATTGCAGATTAAGTATTCTAATAACATTTTCCATTAACACATTTATAATAATTTTTGTTACAAATAAAAAAATATTCAATTAGTAAAATATATATACATACATCATTTATATGCTTAAATGTCTCACGTAAAATTGCATGTAGATCTTTTCCTATGTAAGTTGTTCCTGCAAATAATTCATATTATGTTTCTGAACTATCATTATAAGCATACAAAAATGTAAAATTTGAACCACAAAATACATTGCTATTGGAAATATTTAATAAGTGCACTTCATCAAAAAAAAATCCAAATAAAAGATAACTAAACAATCTACGAACACCATCAAAGAATGCAACTCCTAACTAAAAGGTTATATTATGTCTAAGTATAAAAATTGTAAAAGATACATTAATATT